GCTGTCCCTGCAGCCCTGGAGCACCGGCTTTCCCTATGCCGGGAAGCCCATGAGGCCCTGGCGGTCCTTGCGGCCCGGGTATCCCCATGGGCCCGATCTCCCCCTTCGGCCCCATCTCCCCTCTTGGCCCTGGGGGCCCCATGACCCCCGGTTTCCCCGGCATCCCCGGCAAACCCGGCTTCCCAATTCCTGGATATCCTTGCGGGCCTGGTTTTCCTTTGGCTCCTGGCACACCGTGACCTGGTAATCCCGGTGGCCCCGGTGGCCCTCTCGGTCCAGGCTCACCAGGGGGACCTTGCTCGCCCCTCAGACTGCGGATGGGCATTTCTGAGTCGGGGAGAAAAGAAAAAGAAAAAAGGAGAAGGGGAGGGCGAGAGACAAAAGGTGATTGCAGTTGCATTCTTCAAGAAACACAAAGGCAGTTTTGAATTGAATGTGCTTGTTATGATGCTTCTTGGTTTTGTGGTAGGTGGGGAGGCAGAGCTGGCCAGCGACTTACAGGTTGGTGTTTGGAACGAAGAGGATGTTCCTACTGTTTTGCATATCCCAAACTTGCCTGCATGTTTCTGTTTCCATAAAATAATTATTTTGCATCAAATTTGCTTATTTTTTGCCATGCAAAAGCCGTTTGTGCTTTACTGCGTTTTGCCACTTACACAATCTTAAGCAGCAAAATCTGCTTTTTGTCCCATATTGCTGTAGACTAATCTACTCTTAAGAATTTTTGCAGGACACAGGAGGAGTTCTGGCATAAAAGTGCTTTTGCTGGAGGGGCTTACACTGGCAAGATCAATTAAAAAAGATTGTATCAGTAAGAAGTTTGTACGTAGGTATGACTGCATTTTCACCAAGGCTTTGGTTCCCACTAAGGTATTACTGGAAACCTACAGCCTTACCCAGCATTGCTAAGCTCCCGCAGGCTTTTGGCATAGCCACATCTAGTTAGACCTCTTCTAAACACTTCACAAAATGTTTTTATTGTCCAAACCCACATTTTTGTGTATGTGACCACTTAGCATTGCAGGTCAGGGTGAGGGAGTTGGCGCGTGGGAGTGGTTGTGCTTTGGTTGGTTGCTTTTCAAGCTGCAGGCTTTTTGTGTTAAGTGGAAAGTCTGCTTTTCTCCAGCTCTGAAATGGATAAAGAAGCGAGAGGTTTGGGGTAAGGGGACAAATGAGGTTTCAGGGCAAGAGAATTAACTGTTCTTTGGGAGGCAGAAACCCTCCTTCTCTGCACATGTTGTGTTTTATGCACGTAGAAAACCTCCTTTGCTCACAAGATGGGTTGGTTTTACTATAGCCAGTCGTGCTTGTTCAGACACTCCAAAAATAGGCCCTGAAATCTTCCATTTTCCTCTGAAGCCAGTGGAGGTTGTGGTTACACTGAACCCTCAATAAGACAGAGTTAGCCAGCTTGTCTGAAGTCGCACAGACGCTCACTGTCCCCACAAGGATTTTATGACACTGGGTGTTCCTTGTTGCCCTTTGTATTTTGGACATTTTTGTTGTTTTCTTAAATATCCTAATATTGTCCAAACTTCCTTTACTGAATACTAAAAGTGCTTGTACGTGCAGACTCATGCAGTAATGCCCTGTACCTTCAATGCCTCCATTACTCCCATAAATAACCTACAGAAAGAGGACTGCAGAGTCAGAAGAGCAATTGTATGTTTTTATCTGCAAACTCTAAATCACAGGGTCTGGACAAATCGAGACAAAACCGTGATATTCCTATAGATTCAAATCTTGGGGCTCTTAGCTCTTATTTCATGTCCAGTCGCTGCAGTGAGAGTGGGAGCACCTCCAGGCAGGACCCCGGCCTGTCTACCTGGGCCATCATTTGAAACCCCATCAGAGGATTTTCTGCAGACGGGTGGGATTACGAGGTTTCTCCTGGCCTCGAGCAATCACCCAAACGAACCTGGGGCCAGCCCTGGGTGCTGGAGGCTTGTCATAGGTAGGGCTGCTCAGAGGCTGTACTGCAGCCCGGAGGATGACTGTGGCCTTCCTCTGGTGGTCCTGAGCTGCCCCACAGCTCCTGTGAGCCTGTTTTGTCCACCCGTGGCAGGTACCAACCTGGTCAGCCCTCGGAGCACCTGGGTGCCGTGCCCAGCCTGCAGCAGCCTGCTCCCTATCCTCAGTTACCCCTGGGCAGACGGTGCTGTGGGGCACCAGGCCAGACTGTGCAGGGGTGGTGAGGGACCTGCCAAGCCTACCTTTCTCTTTCTTGGGAGCCATGTCCTTGCCGAGCAGAGGCATCTGTGGGACCTCCTTCATGTATTGAGGCAGATGGGGGTACTCTTTCCCGTACTGCATATGGGGCACCTCCTTGCCCATGTGCTGCATCGGGATGCCTTCTTTGCCCAGTGGTATGTGAGGTACTTGTTGTCCGAGGGGTTGGTACTGGGGTATCTGGGGTGGCAGCTGCTTGATCCCATAGTAGACACCGCCTTGAGCAGACCTCACCAGCTCGAGGTAAATGGTGACAGCCACTGCCAGCAGCTGCACAGGGAAGAGCAGCGCAGCCATCACCTGCGAAAAACACAGCAAAACCCACAGTTGGCAGAAAATGTTCTTCCGTGTTGTGCGCTTCCCACTGGAGCCGACCTGCTCTCATTTTCTGCAGCAAACTGGACCTAAACCTCTGCAAAATGGCGCTGGTTTGTGCGTTGCCCAGGAGGACATCCTGCAGCAGGCCTGTATATGGTTTATTGGAGGCTCTTACTCAAATAGTACTATTATAGCAAATGTCCTTACGTGCATTTAATTTTATATTACCCTGCAAACTGGGTGGTGCCCTCTGCGATTTCTCCATACGGGGACCCGCTCTCTCCCATCCCCAAGCTGCAATTTGCCGCTTTCTGGCTTGTGTCAGTGCCATGACACAAGGTTTGGGGAGCTCTGCTGCAAGCTCCGCACAGGGGGAGACCAGGCAGGGGCACGTGGGAATCTCTTAAATGCTTTCTGCCCGAGGAAGCTAAATTATCAACACCCCTTCTGCTATGCTTCCCATAGCAATGAAAGCTCGGTTTCTGCAGCTTAAATCTTGTGCCTAGGATTGTGCCCCGTGGCTGCAGAGTCCAGGGGCTCTCTGCTTCTATCACAGCTCCTTGCCAACTCTCCTCCTGAGCTGGGCTCCGACCCTCTCAGCCTTCACCCAGAAGAATAGAGCCATCTAGGGGCTGTCTGGGCCATCACTGCCTCCGGGCAGGATCAGCTAACCCAAGCCTTTCTTCGGGCACGTTCAACTATTTTCTAAAGGTCTCCCCCACTGCACACCCTGTCCCCTCCCCAGGCAGCCCATCCAGCGCCTCACCAGCCCTGCTAACACAACAGAACAGGGTGGGTTTTTCTTTCTTTTTCTTCCTTATCAAAACATAAGCTTAGGACCTCTTGTCCCATCTGCTGTTGGCTTTCCTTTCTGCAGTAGCGGCGTTACTAGCAGGTGAGCAGCAAATCAGCAACCAGGAACTCCCTAAACGAGTGCAAACTTGGGCGCAGCCTGAGGTAACGAGGTGATTCTCTCTGTGTTACAGTTCAAGTATTTTGCAGGTTGTCCCATTACCAAGCCCCGTAGGCATGTCCTGCTCTTTTGAAATGCACATGGCAATTGCTGTCCCCAACTCCCCGCTTATTCCACAGTGCAAAGACTCCTTTGCGCCCAACCTGAGCTGCTGGAAAAGCCCCCGCCACGCAGGCACACTGGCAGAGCTTTGCCAAATTGCTCGTCAGAACTCGCTCGCTGCAGCTGCTGGGCCCCGCTGAGCCCAGGTGTGACGAGCGTGGCCTCAGGAGGCAGCAGGGGCTTTGTGCCGCCTGCTTATTTTCCTGTCCTTTTCCCACAGCCTGGCTTGACAGAGGACAAAAAAGCCTCTCCATCTGTGGCAAAGCGGCTCAGCACCGAGCCCCCTTCACCTGGTTCCCTGTGCCTTAGGAGGTATCTTTTGCAGGGCGAAGCTTTTCCCTTTTCCTGCTGGGGCAGGGACTGGTCCCCACTCGAATCCAGCTGCTCGTGGGGCTGCAGCCCCAGCTCCCCTGCGCAGTGATGCTGCAGCGTGCGGAAGGACCCCCACACACGCTTGAGGGGCAGCGCGACCCAACATGGGCCAGGACGTGTCCTCCCAGGGGGCTGTAAGGAGATGTGGCTTTGGGCAGGTAAGGCTGCTGCTGCGGTAGAGCTGGGGGAAAGTGCGAGAGGTAGGTGGGGTTGGGGAGAGGAAATGTATTTACAGAGGAGGGGGCGGTAAGCAGCTCCGCTTGCCTCCTCTAACACTGCGCTGTGTATGGCAGGCCTCTAAAAAGGCCCTCAAAGTAATTGGGAGTGTGGGACTTTGCAATGTATCCGTGAGGGACTCGTGCCTGGTGGGCAGAGGGTGTGAGCGGGCTGCAGAGCAGATGCAAGACTTGCCGAGCTTAGGGAGTGGGTCAGTGGCACCGCAGGCGTTGAGCCCTGGAGTTGCGACTTGGGCTTTCCTGGCTCACCGCTGTACAGCTTGGCTCGAGCACCAGGAGGGCTGGGAAGCTGCTTCTCGCGCTGCTCTGTGCTGTAGTGAAGGTTATCGATCAGGCAGTAACATTGGGTGTCATTTAGTTTTTATGTTTTACTCCAGCTTGAAGTTCTCCATTCACTTTGCATTAGCAAAGCACCTGGAGGAATGCTCGCTGCTCTTTTAAAACATTTCTCCTTCATTTTGCTCTATGAGATCTAATCTCTCAATGGAAATTAGTGTATCATCATTACTGCAGGTGTAAGTGGAGGCTAAATCAAAATTGTGTAGTTAAAACAACCAGCAGAAGGTTAATATTTTCAATAATGTTCCTAAATAGACAAACAAACTACAGAAAAGATGAACTATGTGTTAACAGCAAAACAAACCATTTAAGAAAATGACATATTAGTGAATAAACACTAGATGGAGCATATGTTGCACAGCTGTTTCTACAGTCACTTTCTCTCCCAGGAATTTAAGGTCTTGGACGTAACCAGCTGCCATGTGGCAAAGAAAACCAAAGCCAAGATGTACAGGACTTAGTAAGTGTAGCTAAAGCCCAAGCACAGTCGCTCATCCTTGTTCAGCAAAGCATTTCAGCAAACGCTTCATCTCCGGTGAGTTTAACGTGACTTTTAGCCCATGGCTGGCTGCTTTGCTGTGAGCTAAAGGATTAGGGCCTTAGGACGTGGTATTTCTGCTTAAAGCTCAATGGCACTGGACTGCGAGGACAGCCTGTGTGTGATCAGTTACCAGGCCTCAGCTGGGACGGGGTAACTTATTAACCTGCTGCAGCTTCATCTGGGCACATAGACCCTGAGCGACCTTTTTCTTTGGGGGGGGGGGGGGGGGGGGGGGGGGGGTATCGTGTGCCAGCCCCCCGGTCCCACACCTGCCGGTTATCCCCACTCTTGTCTGTGTTGGCCTTTCTGTTCCTTTCCGTACCGTAATGAGTAACTGGCTGCAGCTTTTGCTCTCTGTAGCTGAGTAGGGTAACACCTGCCTCAGTTTGCAGGTAAAATCGCTGCTACTGGAAAATTTGCAGCATTCTGTGCATCTCTGCCAAATGAAAAGCATTGCCTGCATGAAGACAGAAATGCAGTGAAACCTTTTAAAAAAAAATTAGAAGATATTGGATGATTTAGGACTGTTGTTGAAACCTGCAAATATGAAGGGCAGGGTGGATTTTGAAGAATTAGCTTCTTGGCTGCTTTGTTGTTCTGGTGGCCAGTTTTTTGGGGTTTGTTTTTTTAAAAAGATAACTTCAGTGGAATAAGTGGAGAGGGAAATAGGTAAAATTCCTTTGGATGTGATTTTTCTCCTTGTTTTTATTACAAAGCATGGGCTTTGTGTGCGAGTGGGAGCTATTTGAAATAATTGAAAAAATTTCCGACGGGGAGACACCAGCCTGCCCGCAGCTCAGGGTGAACTCAACCTCCTGCTGCTTGTGCCGAGCTCCCTTGGCCCTGCCAAGCATCACGCAATGCACCTGCGGTTTAACAGGCGTGACCACGCAGCACATGAGATGTTTTTCTGCGCATGTGGAAATTTTGAGGGAGATCAGGTAAGACTTCTAGACATAGGAAGGCTCCAGAAAATGAGGTGATCTCACTACATCTGTGTTTCCTTTGATGTTTTTTGACTCATCATAACCAAAATACTGTGGCCTGGAAATGACAAATGGCTTCTCATCTATTGATTTTGGCTGGGGCTGGTGCCTGTGACTAGCTGAGGTGGAAGGTGGGGGTTTATTTACTGAACAGCCGTGGGCTGGATAGGACTTGGCTGACGTCTTTGTGGAGGAGGTCAGAGCCTCCCCGGTGGCCTCATGTGAGCTGTCTGGGTTTTAGGTCTGGATCTGCTGCAGGTACCTGGGAAGTGGCCCGTGTTCGGTGCTGGCTGTACGGCTTGTCTCTCCCCCTGCTCCCAAAGGAAGGAGCGATCAGACAAAATTAGTCTTCATGAGAAATGTGGTAGAGTCGTGTGTGCGACTGCTACTGCTCGCTGCCTCCCAGCAGTGGGTCCAGCTGGACTATTGCTATCAGATACCATCACTATAAGGCAAGCCTGCCCTGAAGCATGAGGGGTGCCTGCCATAGTCCTTCAGAGTTGCAGCTCATTGCCTATCTCTTCCTACTCAGCTTCTCTAAAAAGTTGTTTATGTATTGAGAGAGAGAAGTTGAAGGTCTTTTTTTCTGCCCTGCAGTTTGTTTCTGAATGCCTGGGTGCACAGCTCTCGTTTGAATCATAGAATCATTACGGTTGGAAAAG